CACGGTAGACTTCTGCCTCTTCCTCCTCTGTGAGAGGTATAAAAGGTTCATGAGGCACCTTCTTCAATAGATCAATACCACAACAAACAAACAACAGAAAATGTTAACATCAGTAAAAGCATGAGTAATCTTCGTATAACACGGAAGGTGAAGCTATTAGCAATAATTGCAGCTTAATGGGCATTGAGATGAAAAAGTTCTTCTCAAAGAAAGAACCAAATGTACTACTTCCAGTCTATACTATACAACAGTAGGCAATAATATCATATGCATTATAGAGAATCAGTCCAAGATTGAGCAGCAACATAAATTACTTCCAAATCGAGTAAGAAAAGAATAAATCGAATCACCTCAACATGTTTTTTTTCCACAGGCTTTGGGCGAGACTGGCGCAGATGCGACAACCGGTTCTCATTCAAGAGAATCTCAAAACTCAAAGCTTCCAACTTCGGATTCCGCCTCTCAGCACTTTGCAGAAGCTTTTTATAGGCTTCGAGGCTCGAAGCATCATCTGTAGTCATTTCTCTACCTAAAGACAACGAATCCATCATCGTACTAGTGTCATCAACTCTTAAGGCGTTGTTCCCATTTCTAACATCAGAAGAAGAAGTAGAAGGCTTGAGATTCATCTTCTCCTCCTCCTCCTCTACCAATTTCTCCTCATCGCTATCGACAACTTCAACTAGTTCAACGCTTGAATCATCAGAAACCGCTTCCTTCTCAGGCTCATCGACCAAATCAATCAACTCTTTATCTTTCTTAAAGAATCTCAAAGTACCCAAAGCTGTTCTCTTGGCATTATCATACCTGCGAAGGAAAAAATTCCCCGGAGTAATCTCGTCCTTGTCGCAATAATCGTTAGGCTTAGCTTTGGCTGATCCGTATCTGAGATTTGCTCTGCTAGGGGCGTGAATTTCTCGTCTAAGAGGAGCTTTAGCATCAGGGTACCTAGAAATCCTCGAGATTGTTGGGTTTGAAGACGAAGATGGCTTACCGGAATCGTCAGACATGATTCCAAAGGAGAATCTTCGTTTCTTCGAAGCTTGGAAATACGGTGAATGTCGGAGATTCGGGCCGTTTGATTGGTGGCTCAAGTTTAAGGATTCTTCGCTGCGCTTTCGATTGATCACTACGGCACCCATTAGAGGAATATAGATTGGGGAGAAATCAACGGAAAGGAGAAACCATGAAAATTAGGGTTCTTCCAAAAAAAAAAAAAAAAAAAAACTCAGAGGGAAGAGACGAACGAAAGATTTGTGTTTCCTTTTGTATTTGGGTTTTGTCTAATTTGTCCTTAATTTCGTGTTACTCGGACATTTGAGTCTAGTCTAGGACCTAATTCACAGATTAGAGATTAAACGGGATTAATTTAGGATTAGTGTCGGGATTTTTTTTTTTTGTTACCGTAATGTAATTTTACATTAGATATGGAGAAATAGTCTAGTGGCTCAAAGAGTGATAGACAACACCAAAGTTTCGGAGACCATGAAAGAAAAATCATTGATGATATACTGTAAAATCTCTATAAATTAATAATGTTGGAACTATGATATTTTATTAATTTATCGTGATATTAATTTATAGAAAAAATTGGCTTTCAACTTATAATTTAAAAAAAATCTTTAGAATAATGTTATATTTTAAAATTTTAACAAATTTTGTAATATAAATTATGATTAACAATCATAACTATCATAGTAAAATAGTTTTTAATACCATATTGGATTATCCATGTAAAAATATACATATTCATAAGTTTAAAATTTATAAAAAAAAAACTATAGTTACTATATGTATTATTGATGTTAAAATTGAAGATAACACTACAATATATTTAAAAACATTTACAGGTAAGAAAATTAATCATCACATCAACAAATCATCCAAAAATTTGAATGTATATCATAAAACACCAATAAAAGCTACTGATATAATAATTAGAGAAATAAGATCTAATGAGATTTTAACCTTAACTAAAAGCAAACACATTAATCATATTTTAGAATATTATATTTACACATATTTACAAAAATTTATATAATTATTAATTTATGTTTTTGTTGGGACCATATATTTACATAGGGGTTTCAAAAAACTTTATTATCTTATTATCTTATCGAATTTGATAGATTTTTATATTGGCCCAATTTGGGACCAGCAAAATTTATTAATTTATAGTAATTATTAATTTATCGAGTATTAATTTATAGAGGTTCTACTATATTTTGCCTATGAAGAGAGACTGATTAAACAGTATTTAATTTGATGTATATTTTGATCCGACCGTGACATCAAGACGAAACATGAGCTATTGACTAAATTAGATTAAGCCCCAACAAAACCAAGAAAGAAAGCATGACATCCAAAGCTAACCTCTCCGATGCCGGCACGTGGCTCTTAAACCGGCCGTGTGATATATGTCGAGTCTTGGTTAAGAGGAGGCTTTCACCAAACACATTTTTTTTTTGTCTCTCTAATTAGTATTTTCCTTTGTTCTTATTATATATACAGAGTTCCTTTCTTTCCCGCATAAATAATGCATATGTTTCCGTTTTTTATAAGATTATAATTATTTACATGTCGATTCATAGACTTCCAAAATATTGGAAAATATCGAAATCCTTCCCGTACTTAGTCGTGTGGCTGCAAATTAGAGATGCCTTTTGAGTAGTCCTAGCTAGTCCATCTCAAAGAGACTTTCAAAAGTTAATACTAAACTCATATACGCGATTCACCGATTATAGTTCTTTCTTAAAAGGAAAGCAAATAAAAAGATACAAAAACGTTCTTGGAATTTCTTGTATACAGCTTGAAACTTGAAAGTAAGGTAAAGAAGAAAAACACACACACAGTAGATTTGATGACCCAAAGATATCAAGATCTTCTTATAAAGCAGAGAACAAAAACAAAATAAGTGGTCCTAAATCAAATAGATAATTTGGTCTCAGAATCTTTTCTGTGAATGATTACGTTCCGCGCAATTAATAGTCAAAACAGAATTCTATATCCGCCAAACAGAACTTTTCTTTTCCAATGCAGCAATAACATTTGACTATTGAGGAGCCATTATCATTTTTGCAAGTTTTTTTTGTTTTTTTCGGTGCAAAGCATTTTTTTTCTTTTCATTTTGGCAAGTTGATCATGGAACACATATGTATATTAAGATTAAGATTTATCTTCTTCAACTCGAAACCCTCCACGTTGTCACTAAAAAATAAAAGGGTCCCAAAAAAACAATATAAATGAACGTCTTAAGATGAAAATGGAGTTTAGAGAACAAAATCCCAAAACTATATATTACGAATATGGCTTACATGCAAAGAGGGAAACCAAGGCTTTGATTGGTAATCTTGCGGAATGGTAGAAAAAATATTGCGGAATAGATTAAGCTACTTATAAATCGTTTTTCTACGAAATGACTTTCCTTTGTATTTTCTTTAAGCAAAAACGCAGACTGCATTTTTATGAGTATTTTTTCATTTCACGGATTTTTGTTGATTGACAAAAAACCTGTGGAATTGTGTTTAAAAACGCAATTCCACTATTTTACAAGTTACACGATACGTAATATATGAAAGATTGACAACGACATATTTTGTGATCCTTTTATCAAACATGTTTTTCTTTTTGCTACGAGATTGCTAAAATAACTCTTTTTTCTCTAGTTTCTATAGATACGATTTTAATGGGCTCATCTCATCTGATATGGTGATTTCATAAAAACGGAAAACTGAAATCTATGGATGGAGGATTCAATATTTTCATATATTTAAAAGTCTTTTATTCGACATATAAAAGATTATTTACAATATAATAGAAAAAGGAAACATATGAAGGAAAAATGAATTTTATGTTCAAGAGAAAATATATACATATATATATATATATATTCTGCAATGAGAAAGTGATGTAAATCAAACTGAACAATAGAATACCATTCAAACTCATGACTAAAATCAAACTGTAAACGAAATGATCGTAGCTATGATCACCATAACCGTATAAAACTGTTAAAAATCGTAACATTTAATCGTAAAAATATATTAGTTATGGTTGATAAAATTATTAATCATAACCGTTTAATTGACGTAATATAAAACTGATGGTTAACCACTCAGTTAAAACCTTAATATTTTAGACGTAACCGTTTTAAAATAAAATAAAATATTAATAATTTATTATGTATAAGTATAAGTTCCAAAAATAGAAAATTCGTCATACATATGAATCATTACTTCATTAGCTATATACATAAGCTTCACAGATCGTTTTAATGATCACAACTTCATAGGCCGACCATTACTCTTGACTCTTGAGTAGACTACGTAAGCTGTGATCATTACTTCATTAGCTATACATAAAAAATACTTCAGACACCAAACCAGAAGTATGAATAAGGAAGATCAATGGAGTTCATATTCATACTGATTCTGTTACACATTTGTGCATCCGATGCACAACAACCTACTTGTCCCAGCCAAGAAGGTGTGGTTTCATTGTCTTTGAATTTCTTGAGTCATGTAGAGTTGATTTTAGATAATCTTTTTTTGAAGTACATTCTAATTTTTAGATAATCTTTGGTAATCATGTCTTACATGCAAAGAGGAAACCAAAACGTTACGTAGTATAGCAAAGATTGATAATGAGATTTTTTTTTGCTACAAGATTGCTAAAATAACTCTTATTTCTCTGGTTTCTATATATACAATTATAATAGTCTCATCTCATCTGATACTTATCACTTACCGCGAATACATATATGTCTTTTTTGGAATAAACGAGCTGCTGCAATTAATTCTGGTTGTCCTCCCTAAGTTCGAAGCTTTCGCATGTCCTCACAATAAGTGTCTAAGTCTTAGATGCTCATGACATGTGACATGGAGCAATTTTTGTGCAAAATTTGTATGTTCCTTTTGTACTTCTTCTAGTTTTCTTTTGCATTTTATTAATGATTTTTTGTTTTCTTTTTGGTTATAAGATTATTCATCCAAGCATAGATATTGAAAAAATATTAACCTCGACATTACAGGTGTAAAATAGCAACCGTTGATCGTCATAAACACTTACCTTATTATATTTGATTGTATAATGGTATATATTAAAATTTCTCATTTTGTACTCATTAAACATACCTCTTTTTTAGCTTTTATCTTATGGTGATAATGTTAAGTATTTTTTTGGGCAGATGAAATATATGGATTTGATGGAAAATGTAAACATAATTGCTATTGTACAAACAAAAAAATTAAGGAGAGCAAGCGAGAAAGCTTTATTATATGATTGAATAAATCCAAATCTAAAGTAATTGATGCTTTAAAGCGACCATTGGGAAAGATTGTTGATAATCATAACTTATTATAGGCTCAATTATTTATATTAATTATATATGGTTTTCATCGTAAAAATGTTATAAAAATAAACATGTGAGAACATATACTTTTTTTGTCGGCATGTAAGATCATATACATGTATCAATATTATTATGTACTTCTTCTGAAAGTATTAAACCACTTAGGTGATTTCTGTGAGGTTACTACTAATGAAAGATACTATTAATTTATTAATTTGGTCATATGGTAAATGCTGGTAATTAAAAGCAAAGTGAATGACTATGAGTCCACTAAATATTGGATCCTATCTTCAGTTATGGAAGTATGGAACCAATGGAAAACTCCATAATATCTCAAATGTTGTTATGTACCCCTCATATTGGTGAAATGTCAATGGAACAAAGAAATAGCTAGTTACAAGAAAAGTTTCACTATGTTCTATGTTTTTGCTAATGGATTATTTTATCTGGTCAAGTTAAATTTAATTTTACTCTTCATTCTATCTAGCTTACTAAATAATCATATGAGATATCGATTAAAAATAGTTTTGAACTTCCATAGATACTATATATGACTTAAAAACCGTTTTTATCTTGATACTTACAAGCGGCTGGATTTATCCTAGAGCTAGATCCACTGCCAACCATCAAAAAACAGCTTGAAAGTTTGAGAATTCATATACTACAACGTCCTAGAGACGATACATCAACTCAACTAAGATAATCAACCGACATAAACGATCAACGACCAATGATCTTCAAACAACAACCTACGACCTATGAAGTCATCTTCAAAATGTTTTTGATATTAATTTATTGTAATTCTGAGCGGTTATTAACAAAAAATCATTGATCAAACTTATGTTTTTTCCATCATTTCGTAAAATTGTCC